TTTTCGTGTATCGATACTTTCCTTCGATACTACTTCCAAGGTAAGGTAAAGGTATCGATACCTGAACGGTATCGTTTCATCCCTACTGCCTAACGACCAGTAATGGGTAAAATCGCTAGCATATGAAATTTTCAAAATGGGCGTCACATACCTCTCGCTAGCGAATTGCTTATTGATCGATAATGCATGGAATCGTTAGCTTATGATAGTCTCTTGCTACTAGCAAAACTACTTATATGCACTGCCTACTTTTATATTTTGTATGCATATTACACAACACATTTACATTTTCTTATTTTCTCACAGTCAATCGCAATGGTGTTCGCTATTCAATATACTCTGGGGACCCGGAAAGTTACTTCAGCATCGATACTATTACTGGCAATATACGCATCGCAAACCATTTAGATCACGAAACTAGAGCACAGATTTTGCTCAATATTCAAGCGATGAGCGGTGATCCTCCAGCTTATGGACATACCCAGGTGAGTTGTTATAAATATGACCGATTTTCGGAAAAATTTAAAATTAATTTTGCAGCGGCTACTTGTTGTAGGTCTGTATGTCCATATTAGGGATCAGCAACGAGCCGCTTTTTTACCTCGCTTTTATTAGCTTGGGATGCAACTATGTAATAATGATGCGCCTAAAAGATGCAGTGATTTCCATTCTCAAGTTGCGTAGCGAGTTTTTACTATAAGTTTTTGATACTTAAAGCCACTCAACATATTTAGGATACATGTACATAAGTAACACGAAATCAGTAAAAAGCCACATCTCTGATGTACTGCGTACAATGTTGATTAAAATTTTAAATTAGTCAGCGGTGTTTTAATCAATTATTTGTATGCATATTGTGGACGGATCCCATGCAGCAGTGCCTCGCTGGGTCGATGCCTGTACTCATTACAAGTGGTGAAGAGAATACTCAATGCTATTCAAAGTATCGCTAGAAAATACTCGATTCTACTTTTACAGTACAACATAAAAACATACAGTGGAGAAAGGCGATTTTTTTTTGTGAAATTATAGATCCTGCCTTAAGCCTGCTATATGATGCGAGCGTGAGCGTGAGCTTTTTATTTTGACCAATACCTTCGTTATTGCTTAACTTGTTGCAATAGTTGATACATCAAAAGATAGAGAATTAAAATATCTTTTAATTTAAAATAAAAACTAATTTAATGCTTGAAATACAATACCGGCGAACGGCAAACTTCGCCGAATTGGGCGATGCTGTCGTTCACCGTTCGCCCAGCTATTTCGCCTACTTAAACAGAATTAGAGCGGTAGCGAAAACAGCTGATCCCATTTGGTCGCCTTTATAATTTGGGTGACCATATTTAGAAAAAACTAAACCATATTTAGAAATGAGGAAATGATAACAAATATAAATGTAAAACAAATAAAGATTATTATAAATAATTTGTTTCAAGCCAGATTTAACGAACCCACAACTATATTTTTCAAACAACAAAAAAAAATCGTGTTTAGGTTGTTTTCTTTTAAAACTTTGAAAGCAAAAGACAAATACGGCCACCTTTGGCACGCACAGCTGTCATCGCCCAGCAGGGCGATAGAAATAAATCTATCGCCATGAAACGCCGCCAAGCGAACTTTGCATTTCGCTTTGGCTGTGTTCAATTTCATATGGTTGCGGGTGTTCTAATTTTGACAGCGCGAATTTCGCTGTGGTGAGTTCGCCGTTCGCCGGCATTGTATTTCAGCTATAAAATGCATAATATGCCTTTTTTCAAGCTTCACACTGAACTGTGTACGTACGCAAAGCATTCGCATGTGAACGACAAGTTTTGATAGATGTGTGTGAGCGTCCATAAGAATACAAATGGAATTCTTTGCCATTGTGAACGTTCACGCTCACGCTCGCATTGAACTGTATAGCAAGCTTTAGAAAATAGTCGTTCACAAGTAGGGCTATAAAAGTAACGAAAATTGGGATATCCCTATGTTACTTTACTCGTTACTATTATACCATCAAGCACTTTTACCTACGGTGACCATATTTATGGCAGCCGAATAAGGGACAACAAATAATTTTGCCTTTTTTCCACAAAAACAAGAGGACTTTAAAACCTTTTTCAATGTTCCTAGATTTATTAGCCCTGAAGCAGCATCT